GGCAAGGAGAAGGATAGCATTAAGAGAAATACCTAATACAGACGACAGGTTGATGGGTGCAGCAAACCACCAGGGCACATGTATACCTATGTAATAAACCTGCACGTTCAGCACATTTCCCAGAATTAAAAAAAAAAAAAGGTTGAAATATTTGAATAGAGTTTATGTAGGAAGTTGTCTCCTTTACCTAAATGTTTTATGGAAATAGAGATTACATGTAACTAGAAAATAAATGGAAGGCATATAAATCTACCCTTTGAGCAATATTAATTGGTCATACTAAATGGGAACCAGTAAGATTTTTGAGTCCAGAGAGGGTAAAGCAGAAGTTAGAATTCTGCCAGGGACAAATTCTCTATTTGATAGCTTTTTGTAGAATGTTTACTGGGGCTTATGGCAAAAGCCTGTGAATGCCTCCCAGCAGCAACTACCAGGAAGGAACCTAGGCTAGAGAATTTCCACGTGAAGGGCATTTACTGCCTTGCTATGTTGCTATGGGATATTAACTGAAGTTACTCCTATGACTAAAGAACATAAATTTTTTTTTTAGACAGGTCTCACTCTGTCAACTAAGCTGGAGTCCAGTGGTGCAACCTGTGCCTCCTGGGTTCAAGCGATCCTCCTGCCTCAGCTCCTGAGTAGCTGGGATTATAGGCACATGCCATCACACCTGGCTACTTTTTGTATTTTTGGTAGAGATGGGGTTTTGCCATGTTGGCCAGGCTGGTCTCAAACTCCTGGGCTCAAGTGATCTGCCCACCTCGGCCTCCCAAAGTGTTGAGATTACAGGCATGAGCCACCATAATCGGCCATAAAACCCCAGTTTTGAAAGCTAAAATCCTCATGCAGTCTGGGGTAATGTCAGAGAAACATTCGAATGCAAACAGCAGTACCCCAAAGAGTTCCAAAATAAGATAGAATTGGTTTATATAGGATCATACTACCTGGGAAGTGCAAGGAGGGACACTCATGTGCAGGAAGCCTTTTTTCCGCTAGAAATGACTCTGGAACTATGTGAGGAACTGCTGGATTCTACGGTGCCCAATAAATAGCTCTCACTTGCCTTACAAAGAGCTGCTTGATTTGTGGATGGCAGTGCCAAGGTTAATTGATAACGCCCTGTTTGGAAGGCTGCTACTCTGTCTGATTAAAGAAGAGTCAAGGCAAAAACACTGAAAGCAATTGCAGCAGAAGCCAAAATTGACAAATGGAATCTAATTAAAGTAAAGAGCTTCTGCTCAGCAAAAGAAACCTTGTGTGATAGTTAATATTCAGTGTCAACTTGATTAGATTGAAGGATGCAAAGAATTGTTCCTGGGTGTGTTCATGAGGGTGTTGCCAAAGATTAACATTTCAGTTGTGGACTGGGAGAGAGAAACCCACTGTCAGTGAGGGTAAGCACCATCCAATCAGCTGCCAGCAGGCTAGAATAAAACAGGCAGGAGGTGGGAGAAGCTGACTTGCTGAGTCTTCTGGTCTTCATCTTTCTCCTACGCTGGATGCTTCCTGTCCTCAAACATCAGACTCCCAGTTCTTCAGCTTTTGGACTCTTGCACTTACACCAGTGGTGTGCCAGGTGCTCTTGGCCTTTAGCCAGACTGAAGGCTGCACTGTTGGCTTCCCTATTTTTGAGGCTTTGGAACTTGAACTGATCCACTACTGGCTTCCTTGCTCCTCAATTTGCAGATGACCTATCGTGGGACTTCATCTTGTGATAATGTAAGTCAATTCTCCTTAATAAACTCCCTTTCATACATATATATATCCTGTTCTGTCCCTCTAGAGAACCTTGACTAATATACCTTTCTTCTTATGACCTATAGTTTATAACAATTAAATAGAATATACTTTTGTGAGAAAAATTTACCTTTCTACCAGAATTCTCTAAAATTTGGAAACTATTTGTATTCTTATTTTATGGAAATATCATTAATTACATAAATTCAAGAAGAATATGTTTTCTAACAAGACACATTGGAAATTTTGCCAAAGCTCTGACTGAAATGGTATATTTTCAAATATGATCTTACTTCTTTGAGAAATTGAGGTTGACTTTATAGAGCTGATTTAAAAAAAAAAAAAAAAAAAACACCTTAGAAAGACTGGCCTAGTAAGTACCTTCCCTACACAGCCCTTTACAAGGTTCCTGACCTGTGGTCAGTAATGAATGTCACTTTTTTTTTCCTAGACAGAGTTTCGCTCTTGCTCAGGCTCGAGTAAAATGGCACAATCTCATCTCACTGCAACCTCCACCTCCTGGGTTCAACCGATTCTCCTGCCTCAGCCTCCTGAGTAGCTGGGATTACAGGCGCCCACCACCACACCCAGCTACTTTTTGTATTTTTAGTAGAGAAGGGGTTTCGCTATGTTGGCCAAGCTGGTCTCAAACTCCTGACCTCAGGTGATCCACCCACCTTGGCCTCCAAACGTGCTGGGATTACTGGCATGAGCCACCACACCTGGCTGTGTGTATTTGTATGTGTATCTGTATATACATCTTTGGGAAATTCGATTGGCCACAACAGGAAAGGAGGAATAAAGGAGCAAATAATAAATGGGATAAATGGAAAACCAATACCAAGATGGGAGTTTTAAACCAACTGTATCAATAATTATGTTAAATATAAACAGATCAAACACTCAAATTAGAAGACACGGGCCAGGCGTGCTGACTCATGCCTGTAATCCTAGCACTTTGGGAGTTTTAAATCCAACCATATCAATAATTATAATATAAAGAGATCAAACACTCAAATTAGAAGACATGGGCCAGGTGTGGTGACTCATGACTGTGATCGTAGCACTTTGGGAGGCTGAGGTCTGAGGATCGCTTGATCCCAGGAGTTTGAGACCAGACTGGGCAACATAGGGAGACTCTATCTCTACAAAAAACGTAAAAATTAGCAGGGTGTGGTGGGGCATACTTGTAGTCCCAGCTGCTTGAGAGACTGAAGCAGAATTGCTTGAGCTCAAGAGGCTGAGGTGCAGTGATTTGTGATCATGCCACTGGACTCCAGCCTGGGTGACAGATCTGAAATCCTATCTCTAAAATAAATACATAAATAAAAATAAGAAAGAGACAGATTGTCAAACTAGTTGAAAAAGCAAGTGTTTCTTTTCCAGAAACACATTGTCAAAAAAAGACAGATTGAAATACATATATATATATATAGTGTTTGTGTTGCATATATTTGCACACTGAACATATATGTATGTATATATATGTGTGTGTGTGTGTATATATGAGAGAGAGATGAGACAGACACAGGCATAAATACACACTGATGAGAATAAGCCTACAGAGAGAGAAGTGCTGAGAATAATTCAGTGATGTGTAAATGTTGCATCTGTTTCCTAAGAAGCTTAAAAATAAGTGATACTATAGCTTCCAAGTGCCACATTTCACTTGTTTTCTTGTAATCGAGAAATTGAGAACTTAAGGTCATACAGAAGTACATGACAGAGTCAGAAATGGAATCCACATCTCCAACTCTTAAATTGATTAGTACTTCAAAAAGAATTTATCAAAGGTTTACATGTTATAGTTACTGAGAGATAAAATGCAGTTCCTACTCTAAAGAAGCTTAGGGTATAGTATTCTTTTCACATATTGTTATATAGGTAGCTAGTTATGCATGAGTGGGACAGGAGAGAGTCCCCCCACCCAACAGAATGTCAAGTAACTATCAAGTGATTGTCACCCTGCTTCTCTAAAATAAGTATCAATCACAGCCAGCACCAAGGAGAGGCAGTTTCTCAATCGATAAAAACACCTGAAATTGGTAATCAGCAGCTTTCAGGAATTGGGCAAATGAGCTCAAGCATGTGCATTAAGAGGCAAAATGACAGAGTATGACCTTCCAGGGGTATTCGACCAGAATTCAAAAGAAAGCCTCAGATGAGCATGCATAAAACTCCAGTAAGCATACTGTGCATGCTCACATCCTGAGCACAAGCAGGACACCAAGCATGTGGGTGGCTCCCCTTAAGGGAAGGATAAAGGGAAAGGGGTGCAAGATGCCAGAAGTAGGCCAGCATATAAAATCTTAGGTTCAAGGTCAAATGGGGCACTTGACCCCTGAGATGTCTGCTTGGGTCTCTCCCAAATGTATTTTCCTTTCTTTCCTGATCTAAGGCTTTTTAATAAACTTCTGCTCCTGTTCTGAAACTTGCCTCAGTCTCTTTTACTCCTTTATGCCCCTCAGTTGAATTATTTCTTCTGAGGAGGCAAGAAATGAGACTGCTGCAGACCCATACGGATTTGCCCCAGTAACTCAGATATTCACCACCCCTAACAATATTATCCATTAAATTTATTTCTATTCAAATATTACATGCACCAACCAGTGTGCCCAAACAGAAAGAAGTCAATTAGAAAGTCATTAACTCAACTTATACTTACTTTTTTGGTATTCTTTTGAACATTACATTTCACTACCAGAAAGCATTCCTGAATTGCATAAATATGTAGGACATATATTCAAAGCTTCAAGAAATATTTTCACAGAATGTAATTCTAGCATGGCATTAGTCTTATATTAAAATAAAATTACCCTTCAAACAAAATATAAATAGGACCACAATCCAGTTTCCCAGAATAGGAGGCCTTATTCTATAACATTCTAGGAAACAGTCTTTTAAAAGAGGGAGAAATATTGAATGGGATAGCGAAGACAGAATAAAGACATTTTAACAAATGACTTCTGATAGCCTTTCATTTTCCTCGGAAATACAAATTCCAGCTCTATATTATCATAATAGCAAGTCCCTAGTGTCATCCTTTCTAAGCAAATCAAAATGAAAAGACACACTTATCTGAGCACTCCTGGCAACTTTACAACTGAGATTATGAAATGAGCAAAAAGACTATTTGTCCTCATGAACTGCTAAAATTTCAAACACTGAAGTAAATAAACTGATTGTTAATTCAAGAGCTAAAAGATTTTAACTTATTTCCCAATCAGTCCAAAAGTAGTAGTCCTGATTAAAACACAATGTACCTGGACTTTTCCTCTTGAGCCTTCTTTTCCAGCAGCAAAGGGAAAATGACAGACCTCCACCACAAGTTGCCCAGGAGGCCAAAACCTCAAATATGCCTTTTGAAGAGTAACAGAGCTAACGTCAGTGCCAGGTTACCACATACTATTTGCTCTAGTTTCCTATTAACTTTTAACAGTTACTGAATCCAATAAATGTATCACTATTTTCCCTGTTCATTTTCTCTTCTCTTGAAATCTCTCTTAGGGATTGCCACTACATTTTACTCAAATGTTAATAATTTTCTTTATAGACGTTGCTTGACCTCTATTGGCACTGATTAAAACACAACATACCTGGACTTTTCCTCTTGAGCCTTCTTTTCCAGCAGTTGGCACCATTAGGGCATATTATTTCCTCTACAATAAAATACTCAAGGTAACTTCTGAAGGGCTCTACATTTGCAAATCTTTCTTTCCTGAGACAACATAAGCTGAAAAATACAAATGTGATCACAGTAACCAGTAATAAAATACTTAAGCCCCACTTTCAGAATGTGGGGAGCACCAAATCTCCTACTAATCCCCTCAACTAATTCACATGGGTTTTTGAAATAGCTATAGAATGAAGTGTTAGTAGGACTTTACATAACAAGAAAATAAACGGACTATCTGCATAAGGGTATTGGATCTTTTTTGAGGTGATGGAGCATTTAAAAAGTGCAAACTTAAAGGAAGCCATTGGCAATCTCAACTTCTTTAATTTTAAGGAAGTCTGATCAGCCAAATACTCCGTAAAAAACTTGAAAACTACAAGCTACTACCTTGTAAGACTTATGCTACAGATACAACTAATTAAGAATTATTAACTAGGATACATAAAATATTCTGAAAAAGAGGAAAGTCTAAAAATCTCAGATGAATATGAGAAAAAGACTTAAACAGGTATTAATGAGACACAAGCTTAAGCATATGGAAAAAAGCTTACTTTCATTTATTATCAATGAAATGCAAATTAAAATCATGGGGCATATTTCATACCTATAAGCGTGGCAAAAATTAAAAATTCCAAAAATAAGAGTTGGTTAGGAAGTGAATCACTCAGACTCAAGCCCTACTAAGGGAATATAAATTGGTATCACCACTTCAGAAAGCAATCTGACATTGTCTAATAAATGTGACAATATGAATAACTTTTGACCCAGCCATTCCTCTTCTAGAGAACAAAAATAAATGAATTACAACTACATGCAATTACCTGGATGAATCTTACAAACATAATATTGTTAGAATATTGTAATATTGTCATAAAATACACACAAATCAATCTTTCAAACTTATATTTGCTGAACTAAAACTATAGGCCACACTTTTGGAGTAAATATTTAAGCAAACCAAGGAATGAATTACTAAGAAACTGGATAGTGGTGAAAAATTATTAATGTAGTTTACATTGACAGAATGCAATGAAAAAAATACATACCATGCAACAGTAAGCATAAGAAACATAAAGTAGCAATGACTATAATTATAACTATTATGTATCTATATGACAGGATCATAAAAATCATAAATCCAAATAATGGATTTTAAGATATCAACAGGGCAAAAATGGACAGAATTAAAGGGAGAAATAGGAAAGATAGACAATTCCATAACCATGGAGATTTTTAAATGCCTCTTTAAACATTAGATTTGAACAGTATAATGACCTTACCCTAATCACCTCAGTAACTTCAAATGTACATGACATGTTTAAAAAGATAGGCCATAAGCTGGGCCATAAAATTGCAATACATGTAAAAATACTGAAATCACATATTCTTAATAAAATTAGTAATTAAAAACTGTAAGATATCTAGAAAACTGTCAAGTATTTGAAAATCAAACATATTTCTAATAAGTCATGAGTCAAAAAGAAATCACGCTGGAAATTAGGAAATATTTCAAACTGAATGATAAAGGAAGAACAATATAAATAATTTTAAAATTATAAAATAAAGCTAAAGCTAAAAAAGTGATAAACTACAACCTAGATTGATTAAATAAAGATAGAACACAAATTACTCAAAATGAAAGTGGGCTTATTATTATAGATCCAATTGACATTAGCTAGGGAATATTACAAACAATTTTATGCTAACAAATTTGATAACTTACATTAGATCAATTACTTGAAGAAATATACAGAGGAATAAATGAGACCAAGAAAACATAATAATTAACGAACAACTAAATAAACCAGGATTGGATCCTGGACTGGAGGTGAAATTGCAATAGAGGTCATTACTAGGACATTGGTGAAATTTGAATGTAGACAGTATATTATTGTTATATCAGTGTTACATATTTTGAATTTGTTATTTAATTATGGAAAGCAGAACTTTGATGGTCGCTGCAGTCTGTTACCATACAGCTAAGATTAATTTTGAATTCTATGAAATCAGAGGACACAGACTATTTTTAAATTTGGAAACCTTTCAAGTAAAAGCTTTTGGACTTTTGCATTGTGAAACAACCTAGTAAAAATCTAAAGGTCCTTGTCACTTTGTATTTTAGGATTCAGAGAATATATGCTAATGGGACTGTGAATCAAAGAAGCAGGAACAAACTGTTCATTCTTAGGTTTGTTTAGGGTCAAGAAATTTACAGTAGAGTAGCTTCTACTTCTAAGTAGAAAGACTTATGGCAAACCAACTCTCTAAGAACTAGAAAAGCAAAACACTGGGAAAAACTTAAATATCTAATTGAATATTGATTGAAAAATTGCAATGACATTTAATTATACAACATGCTATTAATCAAATTTGTTACTCTTGTCTATTTAAAAATATGGAGAAATGCTTATAATGTAAAGAGGGGCATGATGCCATAGTAATTGTAAAATACAGGAAAAAAATATTTTTTCGTATGGAAATACACCAAAATGTTAGGTAATTATAAGCTGCAATTTTTTTTTTTGAGATGGAGTTTTGCTCTTGTTCCCAAGTCTAGAGTGCAATGACACTATTTCAGCTCATTGCAACCTCTGCTTCCCGGGTTCAAGCGATTCTCCAGCCTCCCAAGTAGCTGGGATTACACACATGTGCCACCACGCCCAGCTAATTTTGTATATTTAGTAGAGACGGGGTTTCTCCATGTTGGTCAGGTTGATCTCGAACTCCCAACCTCAGGTGATACACCCACCTCAGCCTCGCAAAGTGCTGGGATTACAGGCGTGAGCCCCTGCACTCAGCTTTTTTTTTTCATTATTGGTTTTACTTTTTATCTTTCCTAATTTTCTAAAAAGAATGTGCTATTTTTTTTTTTTAAGAAAAAGAATGACATGTTAAGATAGGAGAAGTCTATTTTATGCTGTTTAAAACTATATTACATATGTAAAACCATTCTATTGAGTCTGAATCTCTATTTTATTAGCAGGCTTTATGTAAGCATACCTACTAAGCTTCCAGAAGTTCCAACTAAGTAAAATTAGTTAACAGATATCCTTTTTATGTAGAAACCATCAAATTTAAAAAAATGTAAACCCTTTAAAATTGCATCATGTTTGACTATCTCATTAAACAAGTTAGCAAGCCTAATTTAATCTTTCAGGAAAACTAAAGGCCATTATTTTGATATATTCACTGTATTAAACTATAAACCAGTGATGCCCTCTAGAGGTAATGATCGACATGCAGTTTACCTTCCCTGTCCGGATGTGTTTACCCTCCTTGTTGGCTAAATTTACGACTGTTTCAGGCAGTGGTACTTGTCTCCCAACTCAATACTAGCATCTAGGTCCATGTTCTCAAGACATAATCGGCTTTTGAAGCATGCAGAAGCTCAGGATGTACTCCAGACTTACCGAATCAGAATCTGCATTTTTAAAAGATCCCCACATGAAAATAAATAAATCAATAAAAGATCCCCAAATGATTAATGTGCATATTAAATTTTGAAAATACTGCTCTTGGCTACAAAGGAGAAATTTCTTCTGTCATAACAGTCACATGAAGCTGCTTGGTCTTTGCAGTTAACTCTCCAGTTGTGACCAAGTATTTTTCTACACAGACCTCCTCATCCCTTAGTTCCAATCTGGCTTTTGTTTTCCTGTCTCCGGATCAGAAGGAAAAATTGTATAGAAAATGAAATAATCAAATCCTGTATACAAAATTCCAGTGCTGAATCTTTTACATAGTAGAAGCTGGACATACAGTGGGTCTTCTATATCTGTGTGTTCCCCAACGGTGATTCAACCAACTATGCATCAAAAATGAATCGGGGGGGAAAAAAGATAACTGCATAATCAGCTTTTGAAGCATGCTTCAGGAAAACTAAAGGCCGTTATTCTGATATATTCACTCAATATGTATACATTTTTCCTTCTCGATATTCCCCAATCAGCATAACAGCTATTTACATAGCACTTGCATTGTATTCGGTATTATAAGTAATCTAAAATTAAATTTAAAGTATATGGGAGGATATGCATATGTTATATGCAAATGCTATATCATTTTATACAATAGGCTTGGGCATCTGTGTACTTTGGTATCCAAGTAGGTGTCCTGGAACCAATCCCCAGTGGTTATCAAGAAATCAACTCTAATGTCTAAGCTCCAGAACTCCGGGCACTGACACCTGAAGTTCTTGAATTAGTGCCTTCGGATGACATTTGTAGGGCATGGCTGTACTATTAACTAATTTTCTTAATGAACATTCCAGAATTTATATACCCAACTGAATTTTGCCCTCTTCAAGTCACCCTGAAAAAGAGAATAAATGCAATTTCTTTTGTTAAAAATCTTCCTATCACATTTCTTTAGGAATTGTCAGCAGTCAAAACAAGACAAGACATTCCTTCTGCCTCATTACTCTCCGGCCATATCTAACACTTGAACAAAAATAATCCTGGCCAGGCGTGGTGGCTTATGCCTGTAATCCCGGAACTTTGGGAGGCCAAGGCAGGCAAATCATGAGGTCAGGAGTTTGATACCAGCCTGGCCAACATGGTGAAACCCTGTCTCTGCTAAAGATACAAAAATTTAGCTGGGTGTGGTGGCATATGCCTGTAATTTCCACTACTTGGGAGGCTGAGGCAGGAGAATTGCTTGAACCCGGGAGGTACAGGGTGCAGTGAACCAAGATCGTGCCACTTCACTCTAGCCTGGGTGACAGGGCGAGACTCCATCTCAAAATAAATAAATAAATAATCCAGAATTTAACAACTAACTTTGTCATTCAGAACCATCTGATAACCTGCTGTTTAAGTAATTTCCACAAATTAAGTGCATTAAAGTACAACGACTTGCTATTCTAGTGAATACTCAATACCACTTTTTAGAAGTTATACAAAAAAGGTTTAAAATAAGCATCATCTCCTCTGAAAATAGTACACAATTAGACATAGAATCTGGCACATCTCTTATGAGCAAGAGTCATAGCACTCAATAGTTGGCACATATTTTAATTTTTCAAAGTTATACTTACTGGAAAGAAATGCCAAGGCAGAACTGAAGTAAATTTCACTTAAAAAAATTTACAACACACAATACACTTCAACAAATCTACTTTAATTCCAAAAGAAATTAATCTAGAATGGTCAGTAACATGCAACATACTTCTGTTTTTTTTATAGGTATCTATCTAATACAAGTTTATTTGTGTATGTGCAACGTATAATAACTCTACCTTAGATATGAGTCCTAACAGGATAAAAATATTTTCTTGTAACTACTACTTTATGCCTATGAAGGGTGTGAACTTGAAATGTCCTCCTGTCTTAAATCCAAGTTAGTAACAGTATCCTCACAAAATTTTTCAAATTATTAATGACCTAATTTCATTTAAAAAACAGTTTCAGCAAATATGAAAGTAGAAAGTCCTGTTACTTGTCCATT